GTTCCTAATCCTATTCATTTGTTTCGACAACATGCCTAAAAATATTCACACCTATTTATTGTTCAGCGGTGATAAGATGTCAGACAGGCAATGAAACTGCTTTTCTGGCGGCGACCTCTGTCAATACTCTTTCTGAATACGTCTGTGTTTCGTAAGTTTTAGACAATGAGCTTTTATCACCGTAAAAGTGTTGAATTATTCTTCAATGCTCAGTTTATCTTTCGAAAACAAATAATTTCTTGATTTAAAAAAAAATCATGCCGTTTTCCCATGGAAATCAAAGCCAAAAGATTGCACTACATTATTGGTAAATCTCTTCCGTGTTGCGTTCACCATGAGGTCCCTGAACTGTCATTAACATATTTAAATGAGCTATGTAATTTAGACACGTGGGCACCATCCAGCATTTTGATTGGTTAATTAAAGACTTGACCTATCCGGTCAATAATACGTCACGTGAGCATTCAAAAACATGGCGGATATCGTATTGGCTGTTTACATGTGACTGAAATCATTCGCTTACGGGGAAACTAAGTTGAATTTTACTTGCATTTCATAACAATTCAACGGATTTATTTTTCGTGCGTTATTGTAATTACTACTGAATAATAATCACCAATATCAACACTTCGAAAACAAGTAAGTTTATTCACTTGTGACCCGCAGCATGGCCGGATCAACCTACCGTTCTGTGATCATTTGCTACCAGTGCATTCGTGTTTTTATTTGAAACTTCTGTTAGAATATACTTTTCATTACCAAGAAAATAAAAAAAATAAATGCATATTACATTTAAAATACTGAGTATTTTTGTATCATGTGGAAATTTTTTTTGATTGACTGTAATTTTTCAACATTTCGTAACGCCTATTTTAGAACCAAAATAAGGCCTTTCACTCTTCCCCGACGCCTATTCAAGAGATTGTACGGTGTATTGTTTGTTTTGTGCTTGTGTTGTGGACAAAAAATGACCACCCCCATTTAGTGATTGCAATATGTACATAATAGAAACCGCACCCCAAACTTGAGCTTTTGATCCCAATTTTTAAATTGATACATTGTAATATAAACCGCAGTTTATAATAGGACTTTAACGGTAGTACAATTTTGGCAGCAAATAAATCACACATCCAAAAATTACAAGCAAGGTGAGAGATGTATGATACTGTGTATACCAACACAACTCTTTTGTAAAATTATATTTTACTTATTAGTTGGTTACTGTAGAATACTTTATTTCCACTTGGAATTTATTTTTGCTGAAGGGATGATTCCGTGGAAATAAAATCCAGCGGATATACTTTTTTTCCTATATTTCACATTAAACTCATCAAAAATCAGTGTAAATAAATTCCCTTCTAAACGCCGTAAAAGCCTTTTCAGCGAAAATTAATTCCAGCGAAAATAAAGTATTCCACAGTACTCAACTGAATTGTTGAGGTTACTGGATGTTCAGTCGTTTCAATAATCATACTGTGAATGCATTTATTATTCACTGGGCTTTAATTTCACTAATAAAATTAAATCTACATGAACATGTAAAATAACTTTAAAACTCATTGTTTCCTTGACCTATTCATGAAATTTAAAACACAGTGAATATGCTCAAAACATCAAAATAGGGAAATTAAATGTTAGTAAAAATAAATGGTTTTCAAGTATATGGTATCTGTCTCCCTCTGTACACATTTCACCTCTTCTATCCCAAATCATCTTCTTTGTGTTCTGATTATCTTTCCAGGGGTCAAAGGGCGTGTCACTATTCTACTTGGAGACTCGAAATGCTGATGGCAAATTAAATGGTATAGATATACAGAGACTGAAGAATAAACTTGGAACCCGACAATTACCAACGGCAGAGTTGTTATTGGACGGAACTACAGCACAACTGGTTGGTAAATTTTAATTACATTAATATTTTGTATTTATTTTATTTAACGCTACAATTTAAAATTGATTTACCGCGTATACCACCCCTGCTTTTAATTAATCTCATTTATCAACAGATATCACAGCCGGGTAGAGGGGTCGCCAGCATCTCTCATATGCTGACTATAACAAGGTTACATAATGCAATTGGTGCTGTTGCTGGAATGAGAAGGTAACCATTTATACTTCCTTGTGTTACTCATAGCTGTTGTCATGGAAACGTCTTTCCATCACCACGAGCAACTAAGTTTGGAAACTTTAGTATCACTATTTGATTTCATGGGATGAAAAACTAAAGATACTCTACATGAAATATTATTTGATTAAATATGATTTGAGTTCAATTTAAAAACTTTCCGCTGTAAATTTGATGGTTTCTATGTTGTATCATACATGGAACGTTTGTTTTAAGATTTGTTTTAATTGTTCTTAAAGTGTCGCATATCAAATGTCGCATTAACCTTTTTACCACCAGTTCCCTCTTCTTATCACAAATTCACAAAATAGTCCTGTTTATAGTCTGTACTTTCCTTCAGAAGATTGGCACAAAAATAGTCAAATTTTTTGAGTAAAAACTATTGACCTGACTTGAATGTTGGCTCCAAAATTAGGGTTCATTTCCAGAAATATTTAAGAACACAAAAAAATTATGTGAGAAAATCTGGAGGTGAAAAGTTTAAATATAGAAAATATTTTTATTGTATGGTGTACTAAAAACTTGATGAATGGTATAGAGTAGAATTTGCTTTTAAATTATCTCTCCATCAAGAAAATATAATATTATTTTTTAGGCTCATGATCATTAAAGTTTTATAAAATGTAAAATATAAAACAATAAGAAATATTAATTGAGTTACTTAGGAAAGTGTTCTCTCTTTGGAATACGACCCATATATGGTGTAGTGTTTGATGTATTTAAAATAAATCGTTGTTCATACGACTCTTTAATAATATACTAATCAATAACTGTATGTAATTCTTTTTCTGTTGATCTACTGGATCTGAGCATTCCAAGAGAAAAATGTATTTTGGTGAGTTAGAAAATTGGAAAGTTAGTTTAATATTTGATATGCAAGTTCAACGTTTTTAGAGTAACGTTGGAATATGATGTCATGTAACACACTCCAATTTCATTACTGGAATGTTTTACTGTAATCTGTCACAATCACCAAAGTTTATAATATATAAAACAAGTTGTACATAATAACTGAACAGCAAATGTAAAAAAAATTGTTTTAACAGTACTTTTATTTTTCACACACAGAATCTTAAATCTTGCACGAGATTATAGCAAGCGGCGAGTAGCGTTTGGTAAAATGATCGAAGACCATCCAGTTCACATGCAGACTATGGCACGAATGGAGGTGAGTCGTATGTATGATTCAATGCTATCTGTATGATCAATCAGCACAAATCCAAATTGATTTTTTTTTTTTTAATTTGGGAATTAAATTTGCATTTCCCATTGGCAGCAGATATTTATTAAAAAGTAAAACATAGAAAAAAATTTTGCACGATTACTGTAAACCTTTTCTCCAAGCTAAATAATATAATGAATTGATGTTATTCACGTGGACAAAATTTTGTGTGAGTTGCTGTGCGACTGTTGTAGGACTGCAGAGAAATTGTCACTGCTACGAAATTTCACGATTTACATTGAATGACATGCTGAATGTTCTGTCTGATGGTTCGAATACCATCTTTTTTATAATCAAAATCTGATGTAAAGCATTTTTCCACCATAGAATTGGTTTGCATTGAACACCTGTCTATTCCATCTAAACTTTGTATTACAACTGTTGCCACTGCTTCCACACAAACTTTGAATATTTTGTGCTTCCTAGGTTTGTTGAGTTTCAAATCAGGATTCAAAACTGTGTTATATGACAGGAAATCGGTGAGATATTCAATATTTTACACATGCAATTAAAAACAGTCTGGGGAGATGAAAATGGCGTTCCTGCCCACAATATTAAAAAAAAAAATATTTTTTATTTTCATTGAAGATGGAGACAAGAGCATCTCTGCTATTGTTGATGGAGAGTAGTCGACTATTGGGATTAGATGAATGTAACTTAGCAACAGACCACGAAAGATTACTACTGAGAATCCTAACACCAATTATGAAATTATACACAGCTAAACAGGTATACATGTATTTTTAAATTTCTTGGTATGGTAGTCTAGCCAGATGTAGTCGTTTTAGATATTTTCACTGGCAGGTGGCAAATTCAGACCCTGTCAACATTTTTGGACTTATAAAGAGACCCAACTCACTACGTTCAATTACCCACCATAGACTCCGGTCAGTCAAAATGACTATTTTGAACTGTAGGCATTAATTAGCGATTCTGCCAATGACGGAGAGATAGAATCTAGGTCAGGGGAAGTCCCATGAACCCAAGATTTTTTCCCTTACGTTACGAACCACGTGACGAAGGCCATATGGCGGCACCATTACGGCTGGATAATCACTCTTCTTTCTTCTCCGCATCGACGGGGATGAAGTTTAGTGGCTCTGCCTGGATCGTTTGCTTCTTTCTGTCCGGCGTTCTAGCAACATTCTAGCTGGTAGGATAAGTTTTTCTTGTCTTTTTACCTTGCCCGTATCATCAAAGCTGGAAGGGAAAGGTATATTAAGGGGAAAATTTTGTCCGGCGTTGTCGTTGTTGTCGTCGTCATTAATAATTGTTATTGTGTGCATAATAACTTTACTAATTCTATTCCAAACTTCATCAAACTTCGTCACCTTATTCATCAGTATAAAGTCTTCCCTGAGTTTGAACAACAGATGTCCTGTATGAAAATATCATGCAAAAATTGAGAAAATCTGATAAAATATTTTGACTGTTTCTACTTGACTGATCACTGGTGATACACATCAAAGGTCACTGATCTCAGTGGAAATATGCATTGTTGTATGTGTTCAATGAAGCAAATGATTTATCTTGTAATAATATCCTTGGTAATGTATCTCAG